GAGTATGTTGTCTAAGCTGATATCTTAGGCAACATATTCAGATCGAGTATGTTGTCTAAGCTGATATCTAAGGCAACATATGTTTTTCACTTAGGCAACATAACCTTTTGTGTGTTGCCTAAGAAGCCTGCTTAGGCAACATATTCTGTTTGCATATGTTGCCTTGGTTCTTATGCAACATTGAAAAGGCAACACTGCTTAGGCAACACGGGTTTGTTGCCGTAGCCTTACTCAACATATAAACTCCTCTTAGGCAACATTTTTTATTTGTTGCCTAAGTGACATTTTGAGGTAGTGTTAATATGATACTTTACTTTAAAAATATCTTAAAAAACTTGTTAAAACAACCAAAAACGTCTTATAAACTTATTGTAACACTTTTATATATGAGGTCCTATAAACTTAAGTACTATAAAAGTAGTTTATTAGGATTTTAAACATTATAAAACTTGTTTTATTGTAGCGAGTATCAGAGCGTTGGTAAGTTATTTTTTAAGTATATTATATATAAATACGGTAATATAACTCACACACATGCCTCAGTTTGGTGAACCCTTGACTTTTAGAAAAATTAGGTTACCACATATCGTTGGACGAAAGGATTTCAAGCCTAAAGACGTCATTAATTTTGGCATGTTTTGAAATACTTTTATGTTATGCCCCATCACTTTTTCAAACTTACAAATTTTAAACTCTTTTAACAAGTTTTAGAAGGGGTTTTCCCATGTATTCGTGGAATCTGTTGAAAAACTTAATTTGGTAAGTTTTTTTTGGGATGCTGTGCAAACCTATGTGTTGGGTCACCTATTGATTTGGTGATGACCCATTGATCTGTTCCTCCACTTTAGCAACACTTAGTAGTTATTGGTTCTTTGTAAGTTGGTGTCTTGGTACATACTTAAAGCCATTGGCAAAATCGAAGACTAGCCGATGTGAAGACAGATGGTCACCGATGCGGTGTTGTGGATCAACTGCCTAATATACATACCAAGACTCCGAAGTAGCTGAAATGCATATTGAAAATATTTTGAAGCTACAAGCCGATTGAAGGAAGATCTTCATAGACCGAAGATTGAAAAT